CTTAGTTTTCTAGGGATTAGTCAGGCTAGGCAAAAGGTCAAACCAGAGCGAGTGAGCCGCGTTCTACTATCAGGCGACATCTGCAAATGTTATTCCTAAATAATTAGGGACAAATAACGTATCATAAAAAATCTAACAAAAATCTTCCAAAAGCCGGAAAGAAAAAGGCAATAAACCGTACTGCAAGTTACGACTTACCAAGGGGCCAATAACAATTTTAAAACTAGCATTTTCCAGGCGTTAGAAGCGACTGATATGACACTTACTGTCAATCAGTTCTGAGGAATAAGGGAGAGTTTCTCGTTATCTCGCCGGATTAAAGAGAATAAAGTGTGACTGACGCCTTTATGCTATAACATTTTCGAGACTTGTTGGCAGTGGATACTATGAAGTGAAAGGGATAACACCTTTCCTCTGCTATAAAAGCGTGTAAAAAATTCAGTAACGAACTAAGAAGGGTGGGGTACCAAATGCGTTTGAAAATGCGCAAAAGTCTTTCGGAGAAGAAAGGAGTTTGTTGTTGTGAGCTGTTGGTCTTTCTAAGTCTTTCTTCGCTGATACATGGAAATAAACAGGACAAATGAGGAACCGGGTCAGCCAGATAGGCTATGAATAGTCTCAACATCAAGGATATCAAGCCACGAGTCATTCTTGATACTTCTGAAAACATACCCACATAAACAGCAATGCGACGAATATAATCAGTATCTTCATTAGAAATTCAAGCTCATGATGATGGCATACAGGTTTCCAGACAATCTCAGTTTGGATGGATTAACAACCACGAGAAAACGATGATGATGATGAGGATGATGATGATGTGATAGTGATGACGACGAGACGTTAAAGGAACTTTCATATATTCTCCAATATGTGAACTGATGGCAATATTGTTGCAAGAGTTTGAGCACCAGCCCTTCTAGCACTAGTGCTTAAAAGTCTGTAATTATTAAGAGAAATTGAATACAGTTATTTCAAGATTTACTCAAATGTCATTCTCGACGAGTGACTAAGTAAGGAATCCGAGAAGAAGCTTTGTTTTTTGAGGCCCTCGTGAAAAGGCAACCATACGACAAACAAGAAACGGGTGGACCACGACCGTGGTCAAACCCTCAAATTTTCCAGTAAGCGTCTGTTGTCACCCAGAAGAATCTGTATCAAGGTTCTACACGAGCGAATACAATCGCGCTGTAATACCCACAATAAAATTATTGAAGAGGCCTAAACATATACGTCATAAATTTAGAAGAAACGGCTACCTCTGAATCCACAACGCCAGGTGTAGGTGCGTTCAACGGGGACAAGAAACTGCAGACAATGGCGAAGCCGTGGGGTACATCCCACGACAGTTTGACTCTCGCGTGCGACGATGTCTACCGCGTGGGCACAGGACGGTGAGTTGCCCATGAATTACCTTAGCGATAGCAGACTTGCGCAACATCTGCCGCACTCTCTCCTACCTCACTCACATGGTCCCGGTGTCAAGAGAGGGTAAAGAAGACCAGAGGCAGGATCGAGTTTAGTGACTGATAAAGCTAAACAACCCGTATTTGTGCGTCACACACGACATGAATCCCCGCACAACACACCACATCTTCACAGGAACAAGGGAGGGTTCGGATCTCATCCGAGTGGGGGTGCCATAGTTGTCACATTCAAAAGCGGTCAGTGAGCTTCGCTCTCTATCCTGAGAAGATCGAGTAATACAGTCAGTTGGCAGCCTTCCAGGCCAAGACTTCTAGCGCATTGCAACAGACTGGTCAGATTACATGTTTAAATTGCTAGTCCAGTCACCTCTGTTGACGGACTCAAGAAGAAATTCGTCCCAGAAGAATAAACGTCGCCTACCAACTCTTTCTCTACATCTACCTCAACTTTTCAAATAAGCGAGGAAAAGTTCAGAACATCCATAAAAGACCTCCGACCTCGGTTTCGATTGGCATTTGGGTGCCGAAAAAGCCGTCGTGCCGTTGCTGGAGAGGCGCAGGCGGTGAGAGGACGGCGGGGCAGACGCCCATGCTCACGGAGGTAATCAGAGGGGGGTTGTGCGGTGGCGAAACAGTCGAAGGCTGCGATGGCGCCGTGCGCTGTGATGCGGAGGGGTTTGGCCCCTCAAAGGCTAGGAGCTGGGAGAAGTCAGACATGAGCATAGAGGAGAGGCAGCTGAAGGAAATTGCCAGACTCTGGTTGGAACGAAGAAGACTGGCAAAGTCAGAGCTTCGCTCATTCCCCCTTTCCACAATAGACACAAGGAGGCTGGAAAAGTTCTCGAGGCGGTCCAAAAGTGGTTTGAGTACTTGTAAGGAGGTGGCTGGTAAGCTTCGAAGAAGACTGAGACATCTAGAAAGGCAACGGAGGTGAATATGAAAATTACTGACAGCAACTGGTGGTCACTCCTCATCAAGTCTGTTGACAGGTATTAAAGGAATGCGTCTCGAGAGGGTATCATATACAAGATGTCGGAAGCCTCAGACAAGGTAGATCTGCTGGCACACAGGGGAATGAGTCCTGTAGAACAATAGTACATAGGAAATGTAGAGCTATGAAGTAAAATCAGGCCGTCCTCAGCAATAAAAATCTTTCTGTCAAAATGATGCTCCTCTAGCCACCCAATGGCATTATAGGTATCTAGAAAGCACAGGGCAACAAGTATTAGAAAACCCCAAGGTGAAAAAATTGACGATCTGGTGCTCGGCCTGACAATTGGGAATTTAATTATGCCGCGCGAATGCATATAATGAAATATAGAAGAGCATAAGTGCTCGGCTCTAGACAAGTGACCAACACGGTGTACGAGGCTTATGAAGCAGTGATGGTGTTAGCCCGGGTTTGGCGGCAGTGATTGCTTTGTTGAGAAAACTGTATGCGAAAAAATATATTAGCGCGACCAAGTGGTGCCGAAGCTTTAATGAATTGGGGCGTAAAAATTAGGGAGAGGTCGCATGAGGATGCATAAAAAAGATAACAATAATGCGCCTTCATCTGCACCATACTTCGGAAAGGATGAAACTTCACAAAGTAGATCCTGACCCGTAGTGCAAAATGTCATTCGACGACACGAAAATCACGAGACCGACTATGTGGATAAAAGGTCCCAACACCGGCTTGACACCACGGGAGACAGAAGGCAAGACGTGCTGGATACAAATGAAGGTTCGAGAGAGGAGGCATGACAAATACATATACTGGTGTACGGTACAGGAGGGTAGACCAAAGTACGGGTACGACACTAATAAAAACGGCTGATGGACACTTGAAGGAGCCTCTGAATTGCTTGGCGATCTGCGGTCACGTCTAGAGCGATATGTAAACCGGCACTGCCTGCAGTATTGAGCAGTAAATTCAGTGTTCCCAAGATGCTGAGTCAAAATTCAAGCAATGCTCAGGTGATCGCATCGATACCGTCGTTCTACACCGTGTCGTTGATGATTCAGAGCGGCGGTACTGGTTGCGTGGAGTTATTTATCGTAAAACCTGTTAGAGAAGATTGAATCCCTATTCACGTAAAACCCAAGGAATTTTGGTTAGATCGCAGTTGGTAGCCAAGCCCCGTATTACCGTTTACTGGGGCTATTTTGTGGGGTTCCATAATCACATCTGACCCATTTGGTTTCCGTTTTACGTCTGAGGTTAGAATTAGGGTAACGGTTAATGGTTCCCGATTTTCAGGTTAGGGTTATGCCTTTAGGCCTTGGTTTTCGGGTCACTGTTATGGTTTGAATGTACGATTAGGTTTCAGTATTACGGTTAGGTTTTCCAGCTACGGCTATGTCTAGGGGCTACGGTTGCGTTTACGATTTCGGTTAGGGTTAGGGCTGCCGTTAAGGTTAACGGTTAACGTTTAAGGTTGAGGTTAGGGTTAACGTCGCCGTCCGCTCCCCATTCCTGGCTACCAACTGCGATCTAACCGGAATATTTTTAGGTTGTGGCTGTTAAAGTAGATTGTCGAGTTTGCGGAATTCTCCCAATACGGCAGTGGTTGGGCATGAGTAACTTTCGCTTGCAAACGTTGTAGCGTAAGGATGCTATACCGGCGGTATTCAGGCCCATTGCAGTGGACCGGAAGACAAGGTCGCTGGATTACAATGTCTTCGATGGGCGCTTTGGCGAATAGTTACGCGCCGGCTTTGTCAATCGGTGCATGTGCAAACGAGACAAGAACTAATCCAACTGCCCCCGAATTTTGGTGAGTTCACCTGTACGTGAAAAACGTTTCGGAAGCCGTTGGCCGCCTTCCCACAGCCCTTGGAATTTGTGATGCAAAGGACAAAAGGGGCCGAGTTGCGAGGACGAAAGACTCACTGCCACGGTAGGAGTCGTTTACCAGATCTGGTGTAGTTGAGAACAAGGGCTCAGTAATGTGCGCAACTAGGATAAGGAAACGAGAAGCCAGGCGATGGCTCTAGCGGATAAAATTCGAAGCGCTCTATCAAGTAGCCAAGCGGCTACATAGCAAACATCGACGAGAAAATCCGGCATCTTTGCAGGGTGAGTTCACTCGAAAGGCTGCGCAATCGTGTGGACAGACCAGGACCTGAATCAACCGACAGTAACCTTGGACACTGTTGACCAGCTTTTTAGGCATGCCACCATTACTTAACGTGTCTCCAAGCAAGCGCAAAATTTCCATTAATTTGGGCAAAATTTCCTGATAAAAAAGCAGGCCAGAAATGAAGTCAAGAATCAGGTCAGCCAGATACCGCCTATGTCTGATTTCGTCGACGCCTCTGAACTAGGTGCAGAATCTATTAGAAGACCAAGGGGTGAGCGTACGCCGAGACCAGCTGACTGCTGCCAATGGCGGGAATGGTCGAACTAAATCCAGCGACTCTTCAAAAAGTAGCCTTATTGGCCGTGTTTGACTAGGTTCTGGAGAGAGAATGCTAAAATCTTCTGGCGAGGGATGACTATTTGTCCCCGACACATGCTTCTGACATCGCCGCAGACGTATGCTGACCCGCTATCCAAGCAATGGCCGTACGGTCAGTCGAGCCGGCTACATTTCAGCCTGAAGTTGGATTAACGATAGCAGATCGCTACGTGGTGCTGAAAGTGGTAAGAGTCACTAGTAAGACCATGTCCTCGTCCGCACACCCGACAGTTCACCTCTCATCTGCACTCAACCTGTCACGTGCGTGTGTGCGTGACTGGAAGACGAGACCCAACCAAGCCGGGCTCCCCACAAGGAGTTGCCCACACCTTTTTGGTTCGCAGACTAAGACGGCTCAATCTAAAAGGCCAAATTGCACGGAGTCATTCGGTCCATACCAGATCCGGATGACGAAGATACGGCTTACTACACTTAGATGCCTAACCGAAAACACGTCTGGGCGTGAGAGTGGATCTAGGCCTTGATCTATGGCCTGCGCAGATGGCGTGCTAACCGCCGAAACTGTAGATGGGGGACCTACGGTCGCCCAATGCAACAGGATGCAGGCTGTCAAAAGCGAAAGTAAGCAGGATCTCAGAGCAGCGAAATGTGGGTAACTCTGCAGCCAAACATAATAGAGCAAAAAGCCTTCAAAGTCAGGGGAGACGACATTCATAAAACTGCGTAGGCGGAATACCTAGAGCTACTGAAGGAATTAATGCAGGGACCATACGGCGAGGGGGAAAACGGGTATCTGAGCCCTTATGTGTAGAACGTACGAGGAGAATGTGCACTGGCTTTCGAGTGGGCAGGTAATCAAGTGCGAATACACCTAGTACACAGTACAATCAGGCACGCGACTAAGTGCATGGTGCACCTCTGCAGAACACACACACACGAGAAGCGACTTAACTGGAAGCGCCGAGGTCATTGTGTAGATTTGCAAAAAAGGCAGTCCAAAGGAATTCAGCGAACTATCCACAAATTAGGCTGACCCACCTCCCTCGCAAAATGCAAAATGTGATTCAAAAGCGCCGTGAGCTCCAGAGGACGGAGGAACCAAACGTACCTAACTGATACGTATTACCGATGACTAATAATATATGCGAGGGCAGAAAACATAGGTGCAGGCAATGGATAAGGTCCGTTCGGGTAATCTGTCAAGGAGAACAATGGCAGCCCTTCTCATCTAACGTTGACTAGAGCACAAGCAAGAGGCGAAAACTCTGTGACTAGGAAAAGGGAGATGTGAGCACTGAGAAGGCAGACACAAGTTTTGTTGGATGACCCGCATTTCACCGCAGCTTTAGAAATGAAATAGACAACCTAAATGCGATGAAAAACTGGCCGAAATTTTGATGTGCCTTTAAAGAGGGGGTCACTTAAGGCGGACTTCCAAACATAATCTGCACGAAACCCCCGTCCAAGTTATTACTGGAGTGGGGATATGAGTGCGTCTGACACGAATGGCTGAAAATATACTCAAGTCGGAGGTTAGCATGCTACTGTGTATGAATGGGTCTGAGACGATGCTTTATGCTAGCCGGCTTCTCAACCTTACCCAAACTATCTTTTCCATCTGAAGGTATATCAGGCCGGCTCCGGCGCATATCGAAAAACCAGCAAAGGAACCATACATGTAACATGTGACCAAACTCGGAGTCGCCCTGCGTTCCTGACCTCGATTTGCGATTACACGGCCTTGTTTCTAGTCCGTCCAAATATCCTCGTTATCGCAAAGCCAAGGAGCTGAGTTAACTGTAGGCTAGGGTTGCCATAAGAGATAGGTACCCATCCTGTCGGAATGCAAGTTTGTAGTCAAGCGGCTGCCGCATTGGATTCGTAGAGCTTGAAGAACAATTACCGTCCAAATTCAGCAGCTAAAACCAGACACCAAAGCAGGGCTTAACCGGTCTGTAGCATGCCCGAATCGACCAGAGATTTTGGCCTTCGGTCAACGTGAAGTCAGGTTAGTCGCGAGTTATGTGCTCTGCGGCTTTAGCAGCAGTTTTGTATGGTAAGGCATGCCACATCCCCAGATGTATGATTGTCAACATCACTTCGCCCTCAGTGAAGTGCAGTGGGGACACGTCATTATTCAAAATAAATCACACAAGTATCGATCCTTCTTAGTTTATGTCCACAGAGTACTTTATTATGTGATCCTGTGCGAAGCACATGGCCTTTACGTACGGCGAAAAGAGGTCCACACTGGAGATGAGGATAAGGGCCTTATTCGTGATCCATTTACATACATTTCGTTAACTTCTAACGCGAATGTCAGGCGGCGCTTCTGTTGACTGTTCTAAGATTAGGGACTGTGGTAATGAAAAGAAGATTAGTGTCGCGACATTTTTAGAGAAAGTTCTCTTCGTGATTAGAAATGTTTCGGTAACACACGGAGGCAAAGGGGACGGGTTAGTGGTCTCTAGCCCCAAGAGCAGAAGTTTCGCGATCACTTTAAAGATTGGAGGGCCTAAAGGGACCAGCTCAAACTATTAGCAGCCATTCCCAGCAGAATGAAAGGGTGCTATTCTTTCAGACCTAAACGGGAGGCAAACACATTTATGGCACCTAGAAACGGGGAGTTTTGACGCGTCATCCACATAACCTGAACTCATTTCGATTGAGCTTGGCCCATTCTCGCCACCCGGACGCAGTCAAAGAGGGGAGTCGACGCCGGGTGGTCTACGTCTCCTCATACGAAGTCTGGCGCGCCTTTAGGCTATCCTAGCGCACTAAAAGCGAGCGAAGGGATAACTCGGTCAGGATTGAGAGCTACGCTGCGACGGCTCGTGTCTAATATGATCCTACGGCAACTTACGCTCTGAGTTAGTGAAGTCTGGCTGCTGTGATGTGAGGGCCCAGCAGAGCGTGGCACGCAAACGGGCTGAGAAGGTGGACAAAGACCTAGTCAATCGCTGTGCGCACATCTACATCCACACATCTCGATTCTGTTTCATACTGGAGCAAGATGGATGTATGGAGTCGACAATGTACAAGTCTTTATCACTATGATCCGGATCACGTGCAAGCTATTACTATTTCTCGAAAATCGAGGTGGTTCCCACCTATTACGATGAGTGAACTAGCAGAAGACCGAGGTTTGGCCGAAACGGCACAGTTGCAATCTCAGGATGCTCTGCATAGATCTCTGAATCCACGTTAATTTAGAAGGGGAGTTCAGAGTTAGCTTGATTGCTGTCTACTAGAACGACACCTTCAGGCCTGTGTATCCGTACGCTCTGACACTCATAGCGGACTAAGATGAAAAGGAGGGCTTTGAAAACGGCTTCTTTAAAGTAAAGCTCTATTTTTTCCCTAACAAAACCAAAAGAGTAGTAGGATATTCCAATGCATGGATCATAAAAGTCGACCCAGAGCTCCGTCGTGTCTTCCATGCTTTTGCTTTATATACTACGCATGACATCGATACTAACCTCATGGTTCTACACAGGAAAGTAGGCTGGTTAAGGCAGATCATTGCTTTCGGCACCTCACAAAACGCCTGTCGAATTTGCACTCGGAGGGCCAAGCGGCCACGCATAATCTGGCTGCATTATTGTAAGCCAGCTCTCAACAAGTGGAGTTCTGGACTAGCGATCACTGTGGGGAGACGAAACAGGCAGGGCATAACTCCGACCACACGCTCGTGAACGCATCTCCCTTCAAGCAATCGGGAATTCCTGGAATAGATGAACAGCTTTTACCACCACTAAGCGTCCGAAAGAGCTTTGCTCTCTAAAGCTGGGGCGCTGATCCGGCTACTGAAGGGGAGATGTCAGTAGAAAATATGGCAACGCAAGCAACCCGCATGGTGTTTTGTCATCTCCGGGAAACGCTTGTGGTCTTGCTAAGATGTCCAACAAGAAGACCAACATACGGGTATAAGCGACCACGGTCTATGTACTCGACTGTGCTGATGACCGGGAGAAACGCTGGGCAATTAAGAATTGGTACCTTTGATGAGTCCATGAATCCGGTCTGCGAGTTAGTCGCTGATAAAGGATGTTCTGGTGCTGACTTAGTGAAATGTTAGGATATTAGTAGGCTTGACTGCGCGTCTCGCCGGTCCGACAGGACATTACCATGAGGCAATTTGGAAAAGGACTTGTCAGGATCTAGGTCTCAACACCGTTTAAAACCAGAAAAGTAAGGAACTGGTAAGGCTAGAAGTGATGATTTTGCTGTACCCGAGAGCCGGCGTTCGGGACTGAAACGTTGACAGGACGACTGTTAGAAGTCCGTATGACGACAGAAGAAGACAACGTTATTTTACAGTAATGCTGACACTGAGGCCCGTTAAACCACGAGGAATGCGATTAAGTGCATATGTATGTTGGAGCCCAAACTGGCCCATTAAAAGTGTGCTAGAAAGTTGACCTGTCTTACTGACAGAAATGAAATACTGATTGGACTGGGACACACTGACAAAGGTATAAACTTCGAATGAATGCAAAAGGCGAAGGTCATTTCTACAAGGGGAAAGCCAAGAATAGTTTGGATCCATACAGGACGCAGGACGGAGTGAGTGAGTGGGGGCGGCTACTACACATGGTCAGCTGCTGAACGAACAATCTGGTGGATTGGCGACTGAGACCGGAGTGGGCACTGGACACTGAAATCTCTTGACATCGACCATAAAATGATGCCATTGGGGGAAGGTTAACTTATTATCAAGACAAATGGAAATAGCAGAAATGGAAGAATAAGAATGTTATCTCATGACCTATAAAAGTCTACAGTGTCTGTTTGCTCTGTGAAGCTGAAAAGATGAGCGAGTCCATTCCGATGTCGTTACTTGGGAAAATATTAAGAAAAGGTTTTCGTTAATCTGAGAAATACATGATATGAGACGAATGTAGACCGGATATTCGCAATGTGCGGACAAGGCGTCCGCAGGAAAACTTACGCAGAAGCTGAATAAGAGAAAGACAGTGAAAGATGCAGGATTTAACGATGTCATAAAATTTAATGACCTCTCGCTAAACTGTTAAGACATCGAATACTCACAAAACAAACGTTTTAGTAAGAAAATAGCTCGCATAGATCAAACGGGATAGTCAAAATAACGGCAGAAAATGGTGGTCGGACGTGGGCAAGCATGGTGAGGAAAAAATGTGTATAGGTGAACTAGTTTTGGTTACGGCGAAACCTCATCAAACGTGATTAAGGCTGCACAGCGTGTGGCAATAGTCAGTCGTAAAGGTGAGGTGGTGGGATAGAAGACAGAGTTACTTCTCTAACCAACTCTTGCCATGACAGTCCGCGGTGTATCATGTAATCCAATTACCTATACAGTTCTGCTTTTGTCTTCCGTAGTGGTGCGGCTTCTGAACAACGTGGAAGACCATTTATCGCTTGAAGCAGAACTTTGAGCGCAACTGTTGAATCTACCTTTTGATCGTCGTAGGCTGTTTTTCTAATGAACAGTTGATTTTGTAAATCTGTGTTGACCGTGAGCGATTGAAATAGAGGTCAGGTAATTTTACGACCATTAAATTCTGCATATTTCACCATCTTTGCATTATTTAAATGCATTTCGGAAAAACAGTGTTTCAACTTACGTAGAAGTGACGGAATGGACCACAGAAACCTGGAATACTGCCGAGGACATGAGCAGCCGCAGAAAGCATATCAGCGCATAGGAAACAGGATACGGCGAAACGGAGTCCAAAATACAAGACCTAACCGTATCAAGGAGGCGCGAGAAGAGAGCAGGATTATGGGGTTGAGGGTTGTTGGCACTGGATGCGTCCCCAATATCTGTGGAACCAGCGAGTATATTATAAATGGTGTTCGGAAGGCTTGATACGTAGGAAGTTAACATAGCTGATCGACAGGAAAGACATTGTGGAACAGCGAGAGTGCGGCTGCCGAAGGTTGTTTTGTAGAAGACAGTCTGTAATGGGTCAGTCAACTGGCAGAGAAGGTCACGAGAGGCGCTTTTAGTAAGGGTTGAGGTAGATTTTTCTTTGGGAAGGACCTGAGAATCAGGAGAGGCGTCCTCCTCATCAGGGTTAAGCTTGATCTGATCGGAATCGTGCTCATAGAGGTCGACTGAAATATCTCGACGCTTCTTAGTGCGACGCACCGCCGAAAGTCTAGTAGAGGAGTGGCTTTGGCGCAAGCGTCCGCCAAATGCACGAGGCATCCGATGCATGGGGCAGGCTACAAAACCTTGGTAGTAGCAAAGAAGGTAGGCAGATAAAAGTTAGGACAGGCAGCACAACAAAAATTAGTCAGATCCACCAAGATAATATTACAGCACAATTCAGTAGGATAAAAAAACTATGGCTAGATAAGTGGCGTAGAAATCGACAACGCCTCCGCTCTAGATTCCGTTCCCGTTCATACACATTCAAAGGCTGAACCCGCATCACTTGCTCCAAGTCAGATGCTTCAAAATAATCAAAAACAGCCCAGCACAGCTAGGGTCCTGAAAAAATAAATCTGGTCGCACGTTGAAGCCGAAATCTAACGTTGGTGCGACGGTAAATGTACGCAGCCCACGTTCCCGATGGATGAAGACGGAAAAATCACTGGATTTATGAGGCGGATCCACAATAGCTGAAAAACTGAAGAGCCTGCGCCACTACCCAACTTCAGAGGCACATATTTGTCTTCCACTAGCCTGTGCGGTGTCATGTGGCCCTTCTTTCGGAGACAAAAGTACTTGTTCAGCCTACAAGGCAACCATGGAGAACAGCATACTTGCAGAAATACGCAAATTTGGTGTCAACATTGGGACTCTGCTTCTACAAAGTGATTATATGGCCTCTGACGTTGTAGAAATAACATCAGAACTCAGACATCGACTATGTTGAAAGCAGCGTCAAACTACCGTAAATTCATAAAGGCTTACAGAACGTAGGCTCAGGTAAGACATGATCAAATAACTTGATGCCCTCATGAACACCACAAAAATCAAAGAATCCTCGAAATGCAATCCCGACCGAACTGAAACCCGCTTCACCTGACAGTTATCCGCTTATTTACAGTTAAAAATCAACGAAGACGGTTTTTATTCCATACTGAGGTGAAAATAAGGTCTGGAAAATATACACGGCGGTCTAGGATAAAAACTTATTCTATTTCGGCCGTCACAAGCCCGCTTGGACCGTTACAGGTAGTTCGAGCACAGCGTACCACCATAGAATTTGTTGTCCAGGCTCTTTATGGCGTTCAGTGACATGGCGAAACTTCGCAAAGGGGTACCGTATCGTCCAACAAAGGTTGTAAAAGCAACCTGAACAGATTCGTCGCCAGACCCATGAGTTAACTAGTGGTGCCATGGATTCAAGGCCAAAGCCTTAATGGAAATGACGGAGAGGTCAGATAGTCTGCCTGGTGAAGCCTTGCTTATCATTCACAGAACATGAAGTGGGAAGTGTGCCCTAAAGTGATAATTATAATTATATTTATTATAATTATTATTTGTAAGCTGAGAGATGACGCCAAAAAGCGACTGGAACAATGCAAAAACCGATAACGACCACTACTATCTTCTTCCGTCGGTTCGACATTGCTTACCATAAACGCCTGTTCTCCTTTAGGTAACCGAAAGCGGACTATAAACGAGGACAATTTTGAGCGCCTGCAAACTAGCTTGATAGGGAGTGAAAAATGGTACCCTGATTTCATGACAAAGGCATCAAAATGAGGTAAGAGCAGATAAATTTTCAGTTAAGACGACTCTTAGGTCGTTCTTTATCGAGCCGATGGGACAGGGAAGACGAAAAAAAATGCTGAAAAAGACGTTGCTTAAGTCCCAATTAATTAGTCCAACTGATGTGGAAACTCTCGCACAACCTTTGAGATGATGGTAGTCTTCAGTGTTTACGATGCCACAGTATAAAAAAACAACAGAACGGGTAGATCGTATCAAGTGAATCATATACGTTCGCAGAGAGGAAATTCAGACGAACCCCTGGTTAGAAGAAATCTCAGTGCATCATCGTAACCACCCACTGCCAGTTCTGCTTGCATTTTAGGGCTCAAAGGTCTAACTATATTGACAATGCGCTTTGCATTCATCCAGTTTAGAATAATACTCGTTTGTGAAAGAAAAATGTGTCCGGCCACCGTCGCCAGCTCCTTGGAATCCCACATATCGTCCCGCGGGCAAATGTCTGCGTCGCCACAAAAGGGGCTAACGGTGATTGTATTTTTGTCAAGGTTGGGAAGGTTGTCGGAGAGGGCTCCGTCCACGAAATACTACAGAATGGTTAGCGAATTATTCATAACTTACATCGCCGTGAAACATTGGAGGAACAAAACCGCCAAATATAGGGATGAACGACGAGCATAGAATAACCTGGAAGTGGTTATAATTAACAAAATCGCTAACTTGTATCAGTTCATCTCTGTCTTTGAATTGACTGACTACCACATTCTCACGAGAACTTTGTCGCGTCATTGAAATATAAAGACGGCCAGAGCATAAAGTGTGGGCATCAGCGGGGAGAAGCCGTTCAAGACCCTCGCGGAGATATTCTGTTATTTTGAAACGAGGATCAAATGCTCCCAAGGTGTACTGACGAGACTTGTTTATCAATTCGGCAAAATAGCGCATGCAGTCCTCTTTGGTAGTACAAAGTTCGGAACAAATTAGAACGTACCGGTTTTGACGTCACATACTAAGAAAGCAGCAGCTATTCCACCGGCACTAGCACCAGATATGGGCCTGTTTACATATAAATGCGGGGCGAACCGCCGCACACAGCTTATTACGCCAGCATGATATATCCCAAGGAAGCCACAACCAGCAAATGACAGGTTGTAATTTAGACTTTCTGCATCTCTATAGTACCTATTTCCAAAACGGGACATTATAGGTATATCTTCATAACAATGGCGCAAAAGGCTATAAACCAACGACCTCAAGCTCAAGGCCGAGCGACATTAAAGCGCTGGCAAGCCAGCATCGCGAGACCTCGGTGCGCCATATAAACAAGCGATTCTACTCGTTATTCAAGACCGCAACTTAAAAATAGCAATTTTGTTTGGAATCATCGAAATAATCAGGTTAAATCACGGGAGTAACTTTGACAAATTGGTGTGTCCATCAGAATTTATGTAGAGAACATATATCCGTCCTAAGAGTTGAACCACATTAGGGTGAATAGGATCATGGGCCAGTCTAAGGGATCGTCCATCTTGTTTTGTAGTGCAGTTGATTAACACTTATGTAAGCTTTTACAGAACAGACAGCGTAGTTAGGTTCCTAGCGCAGGCCACTGCGCAGAAACTTCGTGTGCACAAACCACGTTCAGTTATTTGCTTTATGAGGGCGGGGATGGACTGCGCTACAAGTTGAATTCCGACCGTTAATCTCGTTTCATGGGGGAAGTGTTTAAGGCTAAACAATGAGACCGAAAGCTGGGACTTCAAAGGGCGTCCCAGTACACGCCAGTCCCTTAAAACAAATAACGATAGGTGCGTACGATAGTTTCCACTAGGTGATCTGCAAAGGGGATGTAGTCGTGCTCTGTGTACCGCCAAAACTTGCAATATTATTAATCAGTCTACATTAAAATTCCCCGAAAAAGGTCAGCTAAAGACGGCAACCTACAGTCTCTGCTCCACCCCTGAGTGGCAGCTTTATAATGGGAGATATTGCAGGTGCCTGCTTGCCTTCGCGTCCTTCCCGAGATATGACAAATTCTGGAATCCCTTTTGTTAATACCGAGTACCTGAAGCATTTGCTTATACGTGAGTACTCCAATACTAGCAGTAAGAACGCCATCTGCTGACCCTTTAGACCAAACTGTAGATGGAGTGATTCAGCGGTTACTATTGGACAATTTCGCAGGGCCACTGAAGTAACTGGTAGCAAAACTGAGAAACTAATATGGCATAAGTGCAATATTTCGATTAAGGTATCTGTTCCCGGCGACTGCTGCTTATGTCTGAAAGGTAGTGATTTCGGATACAGACTCGTACACTGTAAAGGATTGTATTTACTAATCGCAATTCTTTAATACTGGCGACGCTCTCATGATTTGCAGAACCTGAGCCATCTTGTCTAGGAAGGAGATAACAAGGGAAATCTACCGTAGAGAAAGTAAGAGAGTTGGCAAACTTCGACAATCAATGCCTAATTGATAGCCTCTATTGTCCTATAGGGGTTAAGGGGTGTCCAGCGGTACGTTCACGTGACAGACGTGGTAGGTAGCTCACTTGCTTGCAGGTGTAGACAACGCCTAGCGTCCATTTACTGACATCTAACTCTCACACGCGGTTTCCCGAAGCTAGGCTATACCTAGTGGCCACGCCATGTTTACCACCTCGACCGGCGGTCTAAACCAGGCTAGGGCATTCGTGCGTGCATCACCGTGCACGGTAGGGTCGAATTCGTTGGCCGGGTGGATCTTCGCGTCGGCATCGTCGGGACGAGGTTCCGTCTGGTACGCCATAGGAAGCCACAAACTTACTGCGATGTCGTACGCTGTTCTAGGCCAACCCGAGTCGTTCTTTCACTAAACTAAGACGTGGCACATAGTGGAGTGAGTTAGCCACCCAACACAAAAGAGTAGCCCTATTTATGGACAGCAATGAATGAAGTTGGTAGAAAAGGTGCCCTAAACAAATGCTGACGTTAAATTCACGGTCGAAACAACCAAAATCGAAACAGCACGCACTGTTCCTTTCCCTCCCCCTCCTCCTCCTCCTCCTCCTCCTCTTCCGCCTCTTCCTCCTCCTCCTGGACTTTCTCGGTCGCGCACGCCGCCAAAATCAGGACTGGGCTTATGACAACGACGCCGTCATCAGCAACCTGCTAGCCGAGGGGGGCCTCCTGCGCGAAGCATACGCCAACCGCCCCACCGACGACAACAAAGCAGTCTACTACCGACGCCGCCAACGCCCATCTGCCTCAAGTGGAGCCCAATGTTGATCTCGGCTTACCGCCCTCTCTCCACGAAACCATCAGGGCCGTGCAGCATTTCCTTATCAGAAAAGCGCCCGGATAGGAAGCGATTCCTGTTGAGATCTGCAAGCGCATCGGACCCTAATTCATGGATAATCTAACGGCGCTTTCCCAGGAGATGTGGTGTCAGGAAGAAGTCCCATAGGATTTCAAGGACTCCGCAATTGTCCACCACTACAAACGGAACTGGGTTCCTATCGCCTCGGGACTGATCTTCATGATGCCCTCACTGAATGCGCTCCATCGATGCTCTTGGCGAAGCCTTCTATATTGCCATATACTAGTAATCTGGTCGCATCTCCTTTGCCCTATCCTCGGATGGACTCTGATGAATGTAACAGACCGCATCTGGGTTCTTGTCGCCTCGAGACTGGTTGTCATCGTGCCCTTACAGAATGCGCTCCTTCGGCGGTCTGGACAAAGCCTTTTATATTCGCCATATACTAGTAGTCTGGTCGCATCTCCCCCCATGCTCGGATGGACTCGGTTGAATGAAACTGACCGCATCTGGGTTCCTATTGGCTTGAGACTGGTTTTCAATTTCGGCACTTATTTTTCTTATTCAAGGCGATACAGGCCAGTCCTGACCGACCCGCCTACGTACCATTTTATGTAACCCGTTACGCAATGCCATAAACAGCTGACATTTATTTCGGCCATGTTGATGTCGGACTATATTCCGTTTTGTACCGCCACATGCAGGCCAGTCCTCCCTGTTTTTTTCTGATGCTATTTTTCTGAGGGTTTTTTTTTCTCCTGTTAAATTACTACAATCATTTTTAAATTTTGCTTTGGAGTTTTTTTTTCACCCCTCTTTTTTTCCTTTTTTTTCATTTTCATTTTGCTTAACGGACTTCTAATCTCAAAAGCTATGCATTGCACTTTGTGCAGATTTTGTCTACATCGTCTAAAATTTGCATGTAAATTTATTTTTACTTGCTTTGATGGGACCCCGACGGGTCTTTAATAAAAATAATTGAATTGAATTGAATTGAATTGAACTCTGTGACAACCGCAGAGGAATCTCGTTGCACAGCATTGCCGGAACCATCTCCGTTCGTGTTCTCCTCAGCCGCCTCAACATCTGTCTGGAACAGGGACTCCTGCCGGAAAGTCAGTGCGGCCTCCGCCATAATCGTCTAACCACGGACATGATCTTCTCCATCCACCAACATTAACGGAAGTGTCGCGAGACGCGGACCCACCTGCACTCTAACTTCGTGAATCAGTCGAAGTCCTTGGATACGGTGGATCGTGACAGAATGTGGAAAATCATGCAGAAATTCGGCTGATCCGAACGATTAACTCGGATCTTTTGCCATGTCTACGATGGCATGGTGGCACGAAGCACGGACAATGAAGCTGTCTCAAGGGCATTCGCGCTGACCAACGTGGCCCACGGCATTCTCATGCATGTGATATGCATGCCGCTCAACCTCGTTGTGTGGAATCCTGGTGTTTGTGTTCGGGGGACCAGGTTGTGCATGTGACGCGCGCAGACAAGGTCACTAGATATGTCAGCCACGGCGCCTATTTCCCTCATCAGTCAACTGACCGGTTCGGACAGTGGCCGTGGTCTGGGAATGGGAAGGGAGAGTGAAGTCGACGATTCAGCGCACTTTCATCACTATAAACAATCTGACGCGCTTGAACCTATCACGGTGCGCTAAAAGTCGTGGCTTGGAAGGTTGCTTACTGACGTAATAACTCGGACTTGGCAGTCGACCCAGTGCTGTGTGTTTGTGTGGAGTGGTCGACTGGTGGCCTGAAACTCGGGCTGTAATGGCTCTTTATCTATGTGATCATTATGGCACTTCCACTGTGTGGGATCCGAGCAGGGTGTGGCGGCACGCCTAGGTGCAGCTTCTGCCGTGTCGGTCTCCATTCTTTTGTCGTTGTTGGTTAAAATCCTGGTCAAGTGTGTGCTGTGGACCAGGGGTGTGTTGGTACGCCTAGGTGCGGGTCCGGCCGTACCAGCCAACTGTCCCTCCCGCCTCTGGTCTTCTTGACTCTGTCTTGACACCGGGTCCAAATGGTGAGTGGGGATGAGCGCGTGCAGTAGATGCTGCGCAAGTCTATTATCACTATAAACTAATCCACGCACAAGTCGCCGGATGTTTTTCACCGTTCAGTGGAGAACACGACGGACATCGTCAGCAACAACAATACAATTGTCATTGTCCTGTCACACGAGTCATATTCGACGTCCTTCGTTGCCTTATTATCCCACGGTTTATTTTACTCTGTGTGAATTATCCAGTATTCAGTGAATTTGAGGGAAATAGGCTTATGCATTTGAACCCCTATCTGTACATGAAAATCGTAACATTTAGCAACAGCATGAAGAAACTCCAGCAACAAGTGAATGCAGGCATCGATCCACATAGGACACTGGTTATTTATGGTTACAAAGTCATATAGTCTGCTTGTTGATGCAACATATGTCTGTCTATCCGACATTTAAATGTCCCCAAATACTGAGACATTACAATCCTCTTAGGCAAGTTATTCCACGGTTCCACGACACGACAAATTACTCTCCCATATTCATTTTTCCTGTGGGAACACGTAGTCTGAAGAGATTTCCCGGAAGTTATTTGTAGTGGCGAGGTGGAAAAGTCCCTACATCGGAGGGCGCGGCCCGAGCTACGCACGATGCGGAAAGTTTTTTATCGTCTCCGCGCAAAACGCCTATAACTCGGAGGATGGACATTAAGGTGCTTCAGGCGGGTCTCGTAAGGCAATGTACCCCGGTCTCTTACTAATTTTGTGGCTTGTCTCCGCACCTTTTTTAGTAAACTGAAATGCTGCCGCTCCCATGATCTACATGCTTGGTGTGCATATTCAAACTGCTACCTTACAAACGTGCCAAAGACTTTCCGAGTTTTTGTTTCTCGGAGCGGCATCCCGTTAAAGTAATGTCGTCGCGTATTATGGATCAAATTTCGATTCCCGAGACGCAATATGGTGCACTTGTTCAAAGTGAAGGACAGGAGCCATCTGCGGGACCATTCGTCTAGTCGAAAAAGGTATTCTTGAAAGTTGGTCTCGTCGACAGCATCATGAATGGTCGGCCGTGAGAAGTCCCAATCCAGAGTTGCAGTTTCCTGCGCATGGACGCCTTGTAAAACTGGTGATAGTGTTCAGTTTTCTTATCCGTCATTTGCTTTTTCTTATCTTAATCTCCTTTGCCCACAATGGGCGCTTTCGATGCCATAAAAGTTTTATAGGAGTACAGAGGAGAATCCGATCTTTATTCTTCTTGGACAGCCAACCGCTGAATGACTTTATTTCCTACCCTCAGAAATACAAGTAATCACAAAAACACCTCGTTTCTATCGACAGGGCCTTGGTAATTGAGATGCCACTGTTTCCGACTCTCGTGTTTGTCTACCATCCAGGCGTTGTATTTGTAACTGAAACAAGGGCAACATCTTCCGTAGCTGACTCCGAATTTCCACTCCCAGGGTGCACTTTCACGCCAAACGATCTTCAAGTCGGCCATGATGGGGGAGCTTGGCATAATGGACAGTTTTTGTGGAAGTTGGTGAAGAACTTGCGTAGGGTCTTAGCTCCTTCAAAATACTGGCGTTCTCAGTATCTACGTCATTTATCTGCGTTAGAAATGTTACGTTGTGAGGATGGCTGACGAGCTCCTGTCCAAACGATTATCATACAGCGACGTCAATACATGTGCCTGCAGACAAGGCGGACAAAAGGGACGTCTTAAGCACCTTCCTTAAGCACTGGCAAACAAACCATGAGACCTATGGAGGTCTCTTACAGAATAAACAGGCGTAGCAGGCCGAACTGAACGCTGAAATAACCATTTTCAAAGCCAAACGAATGGCTCCTGCCGAGGACAAAAACAGACTCGCAAGACTCAAGCATCACAGACACATGACGTAGGCACCCAACCTTTTCATAGTATACACACCGATAACGAACATTGGTGGCACGGACTGACCTCCCTTAACATCTCCAGCCTCAGCTATGCTAGGTAGGAATTAAGTCCTCATTGCCAACAGTTGCCTCATCAGCCACCACGTCTTTGGAGGTCACTTACTATAATATTGTTTGGTTGGCTGCTTTGAGGTCCGGTGAGTGGATTCTTTTTTGACTCATGGTCCTAGACGATAAGAGCGGTTATTCCAGATGCACACACGAGACCGAGATGTTCCTATTCTGACATGAGTAATTATCTGGTGTATCCTGAATTATGCCCGCTGATGGGTAACAGTTATGGAACTACGGATTGGCAGTGCGCTGTCTCATCAATTTTGTTTCACTTTAGAACTGTGCGGTTACAAGGTGAACTTACTTCTTTATCTGACAATCTCAGCCTATTTTTCTGTCTCTTATGCTGTTTTCTTAAGTCACCACTGACCTGACTTGTCATTCCCTGCCTTCAACTCCAAGCACGAGAAAATGGACTCACTATATTCTGAGAAGCAAAGTCCAGTTGAACGAGGTCCCCGATAAGGATACATAGGTGGATTGAATGCTATTTTCTCAGTCCACATGCTACTCTGCGTGAATGTTCAGAAGAGCTAGCCTCGGCCACTCGTTCCTTAAGTTTAACAATAACGCTGTCGTCGCTCATTAGGTTGTTTGTGTTTAAATTCCGACTAATACAAACCTGTATACGACTGGCGAACTCTAGTTGTAGCGAAAACGTGCCTGCTGTTTCTATCCGAAGTAGGACAACTATAGATAAATTTATTTAGCAGGCGCAAGCGTCGGTAATGCAAGCGCAGTACAAACAGAAAAATAACTAACTCTAACAGACTACTCTCGTGTAGAAGGACGTCATATGTCTCATTCGCAACAGAGGATCAGTATAATGTGCAAGACAACCTACAGTAAGTTACGGTTCTCATGAAATGTTGGCTGAAATTCTGAAGTGCCTTTTCGATTAGGAAGAATTACTAGAGAGCGGTCGTAGTACTAATTATCTTGCGGCATAATCCTGTGATATTTCGGACTCAGCAGGATGTCAGCTATTGAATACATTGCTATTCAATCTACCTTAGAAACCGTACTCGGTAAATATAACTACTTCAGTGGCATGAATTTTCCCATTGCTTTTCGATGGTCTTGCAAATTCAAATACATTTTATAGACACTACGAACAAAAATATGCTTTTCTAGTCATTGGATAGAGAATTACGTCATTTTTATATTTCATACTCGAAAAATTAGTAAAATTGGGTTTTAAAAAAGCTTGTTATTATAAGATTTTTTAAGACCGCGCAATATCCATTCATATAGCATCGTACCTGTCAGTTGACCCCTGCTCCTCATGATATATGCAACGTAGTCCAAATCCATTGCAGAAGTTTATGGACTCTATAGGATATTTTCTTAAAGACATAGAAGAATATGCGATTTCTTTACGCGGAATGCATGCACCTTTTAGACCGAAATCACTGATTGCTACTGCGATGACTGATCAGGCTCCAAATTATTCGGCAATCAGAAGACTTTTTTAAAACCTAATTATACTCATTTTTCGATTATGAAATATAAAAATGACGTGATTTTCTATCAAATGACTAAAAAGCATATTTTTGTTCGTAGTGTCTATAAAATATATTTGAATTTACCAGACCATCGAAAAGCAATGGGAAAATGCATGCCACTTAAGTAGTTATATTTACCGAGTACGGTTTCTAAGGGAGATTGAAAAGCAATGTATTCAAAAGCTGACATCCTGCTGAGTCCGAAATATCACAGGATTATGCCGCAAGATAATTAGTACTACAACCGCTCCCTAGTAATCCTTCCTAATCGAAAAGGAATTTCAGAATTCTAGCCAACATTTCATGAGATCGGTCACTCACTGTAGTTAACCATTTTTGGGCACACAGTGTTTCGACATGGCGACAATGCCTTACTGAGGATAAGTGACTCTGAAAAAAGTTAGATTATCTTCGTCAGTTCCTAGACAAACTGGACATTCACATTCTGCCCTACATCCACGAGCGATCAGCGCATGCCATTCCATGGGGCTAAATATTACCGGCCGCAGCTAACGTGACGTGAATCTGTTGTGCGGTAGTGGGAACGTTGCTTGGTAATTAAATGACTCTGATTCAAGCCTCAAATATGCAACTAATGACGGCGAGTAGAGTGAAAATAACAATTCCCGTGTCCCTGTTTTGCTTACTAACTGCCATCGGGTATGTGATCGCATATATGAACCATAGACCCTTAGATTCAACGCAGAGAGGAAGTGCTCGTTTCGCCTCTGCAGTAAAGATAGATTGATGTGGTATTTCAAATATATAAAATAAATTTCCAAGCATTACTTCATCCATGCTATGTAGAGCTTTCAATCATACCATGCGGTTCCAGTGTTTTCCTTAAGTTAGTGTAGGTTGCGGCAAATGGCCCCGTTGTTCTTAGGATAAAGTAGAGAGTAACGCTCTCCAAGAAGTGTAGTCAATTTACCAAAATGCCTTATAATATTAGTCGGAGAACAAGCGTTCGTGCATTCATCTGAATGAACTAAATGTCTTCTTGCGCCCGATGCGAACGCTCCTGAATTATTTTTAAGAAAACAACGTAATATGTGACTTCATCCAGAATGCGGAGGATAGGTCATCTTGTCTTACGGGACCGGTGGGATTAGGAGTTTTATGGATGAGGCTAACGGATGGGGAAGAGAGCAGTGCAAAGCAATGAGGTTTTCGAAAAAATGTTCTAATTCCGTAAATAACTTCAAACAGATCTGTGCATGACCTTAGGAGCGACCCGGAAAATTTAATACTGGAAAAATTCAACGCCAGACAGCCAAAGGAAGCTAAATATAGCGCCTGCACAATAAGATGCGAAGTTCAGAGATCAAGTCGCCAATAGAAACTCACTGACGAATGACGATCGCGAACCCCATAAGAGTAAAATGTGAACGTTGATCCAACGGCACGCACAATGATGCAGAACAGCGGAACACAGAGAAGAGGTTAAGGTGGCCAGTAAGTGCAAAGTATACCAAATTAGCGTGTATTGCCACCAAAAAGTGATAAAGAATAAGGCTAGTTAAACAGAAACTTATGTTATCTTGGATAAAGGCAATCAGTGTACCCGAATTAAACAACGCAACGTTTGTAAGAATAAGTAGGCAGTAATAAGTAATGTGTAAAGCTGGGTCGCATATTGCGTCTTCTCCATTCTTGATTTCCGTTATCCGGATTTTGCTCAGAGGGCTCGGAATTAGGCCTTTACGGCTTTCATTGGTCGTTTGATTTGTGCAAACACCCATTCTCTCATCCTCGAACTAAGTTACCGGGCTGCCTATTGCTAATAAAGGCTACGTATATCTCGACGTTCCTTCAGGCGTATACTTCAAAATTTACCTTACTTCTAAGGAAACAGATGTATTTTAAATAAAATCGAACATTGAAGCCAAGTTTAGATGACTGGTGTCTATTTGAATGATGCCGGTTTTAAAACTTATGCACTTAACAAGCTATTTATCCAGGGACAAGAATCCATAATGATGTTTTAGATTACTCTTTAGAAGGTACTGAAGAGAATGGAAGCCATCGATTGAAGTTCTTATCCACTGACTGATAATATTTACAAATGGCTACTCCTACATTAAGACAGAAATGTCGCTGAACGCTTTTCTTCAGACATTAAATAAAACATGACTGCCGACATATTTTATGACATTCGCCGCTCCCGAAACGGTGTTTCAGCATTGTTATATGAATTTTCCATAAAACATTTTCAAATAAACTAGAACTCATTTCGAATTTTTAGCAACACAAAAACAAAACTTAAATGTGCAGAGAAGAGGTCACATCATTGGCACTTGTTGACCATATTTTCCAGACCGATCACTTCTAATTGGTTGCGAGGACCATTGTAAATCAGTGGACATTCTTCCTTCATGCTTGAATTATATATAGTTGGACAAGCATCTGTACGAATATTTTCAACGAAATCAAGTTTAGTAAGAAATCACGTTAAATGCCAAGGTACTGCGCGTATATTGGCCCAAAACAGGTGACCAATGAATAGTCTTTCCTGTCTAATCCGGATATCCGATCTAACAGTCCACTACTTTAATACACATTCCTCATCTTCAGAATCACGCCCCCCTTTTCCCTAATTTGTCTGAAAGCGTCGTTTACAGCTTCGATTTCTTTCTATATCATCCACAACAAATCTTATACCGAGTGCAACCCATTCCAAAACACAAAAAATGCAAATCATTGGTATTTTTTGTCTCCACCTAAGTACTACGGCGTTTCGAATTATAGCAACTTAGTAGGTTATTATTGTTTATAATTGCCCGCCACATAAATCTAGTAAACGAATAAGTCGAACATAAATTTTCTATATTTCCGGAGATTTGTTTATGAATTGATTTGCAGATCATCTTATATTATGAGACCTGATCGCAACTTTGAAGCATTAACGGTTGGGGGTACGGACACAGAGCGTTCATTGTGTGCAGATGCAGCTCACCGAGCCAGTCTATGTGATCTTTACGGTGACAAGGAGGGTTACTTGGCCTTTTACATCAGTGATAAAAGGACAAGTACAAGTGTCACGTTTTTGATTTCTTTCTGCAAGGAAATGCTTAAATCATTTGTAAACTGCTTGATACATTAATTGCAACAATGGTTTCTTACAAAAACATGAAAACACGTTTGGTTCCACATTTTTTTACTTTATTTCCAGTAATTTGAATTATGACTTTATATTTACGACGATAAAATATTATGACCTTTATCACCTAGTCGCTCACGATTATTTAGGTTTCTTTCGATGGTGGCCCATAGGGACATGATAGGGGCAAAATGCCAAATTCAATGGGAACACTGTCTTTGCGAACGACTGCCACCGCGATAAAGCGTGCATAACGTAGTTTTATAGATGAAACGGAAATAAGCACAGGGAACCGGAAACAATGAATTGTCCTAATCCACTTAAGGTATATTGAAGACCAGTCATTACGCTTTTGGGCTTTGACGACTTCAACAGTTAGCAGGTCCTAAGTCCTAGAGACAAGTGGAAGGAATGCTCAGTTTGAGTGAATTACGAAGAAAACAGGTTGCAGGTCCAAGGAACGGTCAATAAGGGCCTCAGACATCTAAATAGCAAGCAGGAAATTGCGATCGAAACCGAGTTTATTTTAAGAGAACAAAAGGTTCTTACAAAAATTGCACTTTTTAAAAATGCGTCCGATGACCCGAAAGTGACCATAATAATTGCATTGGAAGTTTGTTGATGTTTGCATGGACGACGGAGCACATTCGTTTAATAAAATATACCATACTAAAATCGGAATTTGCGGGAGACGAACCAAATTTGATACCATTATTTGAAAGTTTACTTAATGACACTGAGTGCAAATTGCCATATTTTCCCTTCCTTTTAAAGCACTTCCTCTGAAATATTTTATTGTGCCCCAGAGGACCTTTGAAATTTTCAGCTTCTATCAAGCAGGGTTAAGTAGTCGCAGCAGTATGTTGCTTTTTTGTGGTACGCCTACTTAGCTTCTTTCTTAAGTCGAAATGCGATTGTGTAATATGAGGCCGGGGCAACATTCGCGTTAGAAAATTGCTGAACGATCCTGTTCACAGAGGAGTCCACTCTTTGTGAGAACCATACGCATCTTGCATGCATATGTCTATTCTCAAGCAATGATGTCTGGGATTGATGCCGAGGGCGTTGACAGTACACACGCATAATAAATTCATTTACTTCTGTCTACTATCTGCATGCATTCCAACCGAAGTGGAGCTCAGCCGCTTTCTCTTTACTATCTTCATCATTGGCTCTTGTATGGACTTCTTCGTACGAACTTTTCGAAGCACCGGGATTGCGCTACAAAACAAAAGATAGTGATTGACTCGTTATTTTGCCTCAGGGCATATGTTTTTGTTACCTTGCAAAGAAGACTTAACTTTTTGTAATGTTGCTGTTAACGCAACCTCAAAAATAATTTACTAACGAAGAAAAGGCAGTTTATGATATCAGACACCTATGGTCTCAAATGATGCACGATCCAACCATAATAACTACAGTGAGTGACCGGTCTCATGAAATGTTGGCCAAAATACTGAAATACGTTTTCGACAAGGAAGAATTACTTAGACGGGGTTGTAACATCGATTAACATGCAGTATAATCCTATAAAATTTCGGACTCTACAGGATGTCGGCTTTTGAACATACTCCATTTCAATCTCCTGTAGAAACCGTACTCGGTAAAGAATGACTACTTAAGTAGCATGCATCATTCGCATTGATTTTCGGTGGTCTTACAAATTCAGATATATTTTTGAAAAACGAACAAAACATGTTTGCCTTCACCCTCTGGATAGAGAATCATATTATTTTTATATTTTATACTCGAAGAAGGAGTATGATTGAGTTTTTAAAAGTTTTTCTAATTCCCGAATAATTTTGAGCCTAATCAGTCGTTGGATTTGCGCTTAGTGACTAAAATCCGCAAGGTGCATGCGTTCCGCGTAAGAAAAATCACGCATTCTTCTATGATTTCAAAAAGATACAATATAGAGTCCTTACAATTTCGCAATGGATGCGGAATATGTTGTACATTTTATGAGAAGCAGTGATAGACGGACAGGTACGATGGTTCATGAATGGACATTGCACGATCTTAAAAAATCTCCTAATTAGAAAAAAAAATAGTTATACCCCTTCTTTGATTATATAATATACGGAGGACGTGATTCTCTATCAAATAAATGAGAAAAACATATTTTCGCCCCTGGTTTTTGCAAAATATATTTTGATTTATAAGAAAATCGAAAATTAGTGTGGGAAGTTCGTGCTATTTAAGGAGCCACTTTTTACCGAGTACGGATTCTACAGGAGATCAAAAAGAAGTTTATTCAAAAGCAGACATCCTGCAGAGTCCGAAATATTATAGAATTATGTCGCACGCTAATAAGTATTACAAGCCCATTTAAGTAATTCTTCCTAATCAAAAACGCATTTCAGAATTTGGGTCAACATTTTGTGACATCCATCATCCATTGTGGTCGTAAACATTGTCAAATCAGACGTTCTAGACATGAAAGCAAATCAAGTTTGTATGCAAGGTTTCATGATTTTGGGTAAAATATGTCAAAAATGTCCTTTTTATTCATGATCATTCTTTGCTTTTAAAAACGGTGGACAAGTGTTGTTGGTCCTTCAGGGCCTGAGGTGCATGCGTTTTCTGTTCATAAAAAGCATTACTTCGGCCAGTATACTTATTTGGGCCGATCAACAGCTGTTGTACATACGTTAAACCAAAGCCTGATGATACTTAGATGCCGTGACTCTATTTCTTTAAGTAAACACATTTTCTCTGACAATAACTCACAATCGGCCTCTTAGTTCCTGGGTCCCTTGTACTAGTCGATGCATCTATAAGAACAAAGAACATTTGCATTGTAATAGTTGGCAAAATTGCTTTCTATCTTCCATATGCTCGAATGAACAGTTGCAGCTTAATGTCACTTTGCAACTGTTCCCCCTACTTCACTACAATCAGAAATCCAAAAATGTATTTCTTCTGGATAATTTATGAAAAAGCCAGTTCAAAATTTAAAGGAAAGCATTTGGGCACGCTGGCCGCCGGGTTTACAATACTCACTGTGATGTATTGCTGAAATTGGTTCCGTAGTTTCAACTAAGTTGCATGTTTCCCCTGCGCAATCGCTCATTTACCCTTCAAATCTCCGCAAAATGAATTTGCATAAACCGGAAAATCCGGAACAAATTTTAGTCTTTCGCATATATTTAGGATGTTTGTAGAGATACTAAACCGCAATGGCCTCGTTATTTAGTCTGCAGCCGAGATTCCTTTCATGAAAGTACTTTGAATGCTTTAGTTGCAAACAGCCCTATCCACTGACGTTCCAAAATGGAGGTTGTTAAAACAGTTAGCCGTTTAATTTACCATTTCATTGAAATCTGGCGATCAAGAACTACTGCATACGATGGTAGGGGCGCTCACCGATCGTCCTTCCGGAACCCACTCGTCCTGTTGTGCCTTTGAGCTCTCTCTCGACTCCAATTAACAGCCGCACAGCGACGCATGATATAGGCAGTATGGTATTACCGACAAAGACAAGGGAGACCGGAATGGCCACTTCTGGATTATTAGCCGTGGTCAGCCAGTCATACCCAACCCCGAAGTGTGGAACACCAGAGGCTCGAACTCGCGACTCCCTACCACTGCATATTCCCAATCGAAACCGACAGGGCAACGGGCTCGTGGCCCAGTGGTTAGAGACGTGGACTTCTAACTAACAGGTCGCGAGTTCGAGCCTCGGGTGTTCCACACTTCGGGGTTGGGTATGACTGGCTGAGGACGGCTAATAAGCTAGAAATGGCCACTCCAGTCTCCCTTGTCTTTGTCGGTAATAAGATACTGATTACTGCATAGACCTTTTCATAGCTGGTCTTCTTGAATGATTCCGGATATTTTGAAGTTAGACCCATGTATTTCGTTCGGTTGTTTAAAGACTTTAATTCGCGACCGTTTATTTTTACTGAAGTCAGTGAAAAACTAAAAGATTTCAATGCACTAAATTTAAGGTAACAGTTGCTTATTATTCAAAATAGGGCCATGCTTATGTTGAAATTTATTTCTCACCTCCTCTTCTTGCGCTCGAACTTTTTCCTCCCAATATAAGCGGTCGGACTCAAGGCTGACCACTCGTTCGTTGAGTCCTTTTATTATCTCCTTCAGTTGATCTGAAAAGATAAATGAACCCACTCGAATGGTCACATGGTCCATTTGAGAGCAAATTCTTTAGGCATCCATTTGCTAGATAGTTGCAATGCTGCGTCCCGCTGAAGGATCAGTTAGCCAAACATTGTGTCGACAAATGAATCAGAACATTTTAAAAGTGCGACGTAAACCATGTTTAAACACTGTTTCACGGAGGGCATCTTAAATTTTTTGTATCCACGAAGGTTTTTGGTCTCAGGCAATAATCTGTCTTTAACTTGTCTATTCAGATTTCAAAACAGTTTTTGTCGAAAATATTGAAAGAGCAATAGTAGGAAGATAAGGACGACCGAAGTTTAATTGTTTTACTGTGACGTTTATTAACTTGAACCTTGAACTAGTTAAAATTGCAATCTGTCAGGTGTGGGCTAGAAAATACCTCCACCTGTGAACTACCTTATGGTTCGAAGTGTCCTATTTAAGCCTTTCAAGACGACCTAAACAAGAATCCGACTATTTTGGGAACCTTGCCCTAATTTCCGGAGAAAAAAGCTAGTTCCAAGGTCTCTCGTTTGCACTAATGTAAAGTTTTCGGTTATGATTATGATTAGAAAATATTTAGCCCTCATACAGTTTGCTCAAGACCACCTGTATTACCATGAATTCCTATGTTTGTGTCGTACTATGCCATTTGTTAACTTACAAACGTCTGAACTGTACATTTGTGGGGATTTTGGAGTTTAGGGACTAGTGACACAAAACTACCAGTAGTATTATGCAAATTTCTGTCTCACTCTCAGTTAACCAGATGGATATGGGCTACGGGAATTTGCGTCAAAATTCAAATTAGCCAGCTGAAAGAGATCTATGTATTTTAAAACCCAGATTTAGTGGTTGCTAACGATTATATTTAGCAAACGAGCCCAAGAACGTTTAACTGAAATTCTGGAATACGTTTTCGATTAAATAGCATTGCCTGTTTTTTTAATTAAAATTGCCAGTCTAAAAGTTGTACCTTTTCTGCGTGAGGAAAATCGCGTATTGCCCTATGTCATCGAAACGATTCCGCGTACAGCTTATAAAATTTTGAAATAGATATGTGCTATGTCGTATACTTCATTGGGAGCATTAATAAAAGCAAAGACACGAAGCCCTCCGAAAATCACATAATTAGAAACTTTATTAAAACCTAAAGATACCCTTCTTGGAATATAAAGTGTGGAGCAAACATGATTGACTACAAACGGGTACAAGGAAGTTGTCTATGCATGTTTTTTTTAAACAAACATACTGAATTTATGAGGACGTCGGAATGTAATAGCAGAAACGCATACTTTGCAAGCAATCATTCTTCGGAGTGTGAATTTTGAAGGCAACTGAAAGGAGGTGTACACCTGTTTTGTCTTTAAATTTCATACATACATCATATTTTTAAGTTTGGAAGCGTAAATCAGCTTCAGTTGCCTCTGTCAAAAAAGAAACTGAATAAATCCTTTGCTACTCGTAAACCGACTCTTTTTGCCTTTGGTTTGTTAATTATAAACACACTGGCTCGAACTCCTTTTATTAATCCTTAGCTGGAGGCTGACAATTAAGTAACCCAGTAACTAGCCCTGACGATGGACTGCGACGCGCGTTCGAAAGCTCAGAACAATAAACAGAATGTTCCAATGTTCGACCATTATTCTTCTTCACTTATACACGCACTTAGGACTCGAACTTTCGCCGTCATTAGGCCAAGTTTTCTCTTTAGCAAGGGTAGAAAAAAAGATTTAAATCGTAACCCTTATGACGTATAGCCTATAATACTTGACCAAAATTGAATGAGGCTTTCCAACGATCTGGATCCCGAAACGACAAATAATTATTGCCTTTTGGCTGAGCTGTATATAAAAAGTCGTTTTCTACTTTTTCCAAAACTTCACATATGCTGACATGATCTTATAAGGACACGAAGTATTCAGTCCATATAAACATTTATAGAAGCTGACTGCCAATATATGTTATTAGGTATAGGTCATAGTCCGTTTCTCAAGGTTTTGAAATGCATTTTCATAAGCATCCACAAATGACTTCCATTTGCCTCTGTTACTGGAATTTACAATTTCAAAAAATCAGAAACAATTTTGCGTAGATTTGACTATATTTGTTATGTTTATTGCAGGGGTTAAGGATTTTCTTTAATTTGTACTAAAATACACTGAAGCGTTCCCAAAACGGACGCCAGCTGCTTTTGGAGATTTAAGGATAGCGGACACCCCACTGTCATGAAACCTATACAAATGCGCATTTTTGGACAGCTATGGTACTTTAAGATCCCAAACGCAACGTAATAATACAAGCCAACTTTGGTAACTGAGAGCAGTTTTGACACCTTTGCTGAAAAGTTCGATGTATACTTTTTCTGCTTTGCATAGCACACAAAACTCCAAGTTTCTCTCTCACAAGTCCTTGGTCCCTTAAAATCTAGCGTTTTCCTGTTTAGAGTGTATACGGTACTTTAATTTCGCTTTCGAGCAATGACCGTAACTTATTTTGCTCTAATCGCAAATCGAAAGTGGTTTTAACTCGTTTGAACACTAGTGCCATTTTCCATGCATAACGGAAGTTGCTGAGCACTTTGCTAGTCTAGGTGCCTAAATGGAGCATATGAGCCTCTCGCAGAAACCAGGCGCAATAACAATCTGCATAATTTCTGTACCTACCATCATCCAATTCTCCAAAATCGACGGGTGGACACATCTTCTGCAGGTAGGTTTCCTTTGCTATCAACAACTCCCGCTGCTCCTTGCGCAAATTATCCTTTGCCCTTTGAAAAATCATTTGCTAGATTAAGAAAAAGCGAAACGGTTTTTCAAACAGTTAACCATCAGCGTTTATGTCGTAGATTCAAAGCAATATTCACAACTTGTTTTCACACTAAGTAATGGTCGTAAATCTTTACGAGACATTTCTCTCTCCAAAGCACACAATGACAGTGTATATCTTATTATCAGTCCCAGAATTTATGGCTAATATGGTCAAACCGTATTCTACGTAGACTAACTTAACTGAATAAATAAGATGCAAGTGGACCTCCAATATATTCATTTTTAGAAAATTCAGTCTCTTATGGGGAGCAGCTAGCTAAGACGCGTACTTGGGCCATGCATAAAACAAACAACACGAAGCTTGTATTTACTGCCTAGAAAGCAACAGTAATATTGAAAAGTTATGGAGACTGTGTTAAGCACCGTGTATCTGTCCTCTCGGGAGGCTTCAATTCAGAAGGTCGCTTTTAGTTTAGAAAGCTCTCTTGAATCCTTTTGCTGGGTTTAGGTCGTTAACTGTTATTATCAATGAAATATGTCGTCATACAGTGCACAAAAACTATTTTCAAAACGGGTGCAATCAAAAGGAGCCGAAAACCTTCATTCTAGCTTTCGCCAAGTGTGTAAAATCTTTTAGTAATCTTGGGGAGCCCATGCATTTAACCTTATTTTAAAGCACACTGCAGCAAACCGAGGTGTCACCTTTGGTTACTTCGCCTTTCGGAAGAAAAATTATCGAAAGAGAAGATAATGCTGTTAGGTAAGTTAGCCACAGTTTTGCTTTTATTTAGCAATATGGGAGATCACTTGCTTTGAGACGTGCTTTCTTCTCTCTTGTAAGAACACCCAGGCCTTTTCGGTGAGACGTCGGTAATCTAGAAGATTTTCTCCTTTCGCATACTTCCCGAGCAGTGGATTCCCGTTGCTTTTCCTACAAAAAGAGCGCAGCGAATCCGATGTTTGCCTACCTTTGAGAAATCAGTACGCAGTCTTCCGGTACAGAATTCAAACTAAGCGTTATCCGCATGTGGGAACGAAGTCATACGAATGGGCCCCAACATTAACAAAAATGTGAACCAAAAGTAAATGAAATCCAATAGACTCTGATATAAAGATTCTACATATCCAAAGAAAGATAGGAAACTTTTAAATGCTTTTAGGGAAAATGACTGGCTATTATTGCCTCTTGGTGCTGCTCTACCCGTGCTTATCGAATAGGAATTAACTTCGTCTGTTAGGGCACTACATAACAGTGGCCTGATATATTTTTTCCAGTAGCTGGGCTCTGCAAGGAACAATAGCCATCTTATATTATCATTATTTTATTTCAAAAACTATTTCCCCGTCTTACGGTATTAAATTAAGGGAAATATTGTCGGCTGATGAAGGCATTTTTAAATGTTAGCAATTGGCATTGCACACTTTTCCTGAATAGTAACTGAAAAAGCGAGTGGGAATGGAGAAATTGAGATATATTTTAGGAGTGGAGTATTATAATTTTGCTAGATGCCCACTGATGTTTTCCGGAGAAGTCTTAAGCTGTGAACTTGGAAGTATTTTTTTTAAAAATGACCCTGAGGGTTTTTCTATGTCACCACGAAAATAAACTTCGATAATTACAAATATTATAAAACGCGATCGTTTTTAACAGTGGTATTAGTTGTATAACTGAAGAACAGACAGAGTAAGACTTCCATAACACACGTACATCTACGTCGTACAATTTTCGAAGAAATTGATATGTGAACATGGAGTATCTCCTTCAGAACGAAGCTTTTTAGCCCCAATCCGGAAGTTGATATATGAGTATTCGAGCTTCACTCCATCGGCTTCTGCGGAATAACCATGAAATATTTGCGAGCTGCAAACAGGCAGTCACACAGCTGCACGAGAGCCCGAAACGTGCGTGTCTTGGCTTTTAGCTAGTACCTGTGCTGTCAGTATGATAAACTCCTCTCCTAATGACTCTCCTAATGAACTGTTCTGCCAAGACATTTGAGCTAGTTTGCCACGTAATAGTAACTCAATAGTATTGCACATTTTCATTAAATGTTTACGATATAAATAAATTTAAAAAAAAACAAAAACGGCTATTCCGAACTTGAGGCACATAGTTAATCAACAGCTTCCCAAATTTCCATTTCTTAATTCGTGCATAACTCGTACCTCATTCCTTTTCGTTCGCGCCAAACAAATCTAAAAGGTACAAACGATAAGTTCAAAGTAGACAGTTTATTTTGCTTTAAATGTGGGATATTCTGTACCTTGCAAGGGTCTAAAACTAATTTATAAACGACCATGCATAAATAACGTTTTTCCGTTAAGTAAACATTAGCCATTATCATTAATGTGCTACTATGAGCTTTCATTGAATTATAAACGTCACATGGACGACAAACTAGTTATGTAATAGTGATGGTTATGATAAGAACAGATATTGTTTCAACTTCCAAGTTAGTCAACTATGTTTAAAATAAGAAACATCAGTATAAGAGCATAACAAAAGCCTTATTATTGCCAGAAGTGGTACCTCTAATCGTTTTCTTTCCCTGACAGATGCATAATCATCTTCAGTCTATAACAGAGAAAACAGTTTAGGGTAACTCATCCGTCGGAAAGTTTCAAAAAAGTATGCTTAAATACACAAAGTTGATACGCAAGCATATTTGCCAGAAATAACATCTGTTGATGGCACTCTTGTAATCTTCTATAGTCAAACCGGAATTGCCAGTATCCACGCCATACTGAGGTAGCTCCGACTGGCGCTTATCCGTTATAAAAGTGCTGCGTAGGAAGGTCAGATAATCGTGAATCGTCGAGTGAATATTCCAAAACGACTTTCAAGCGTATTTAAATAGGGAATTATGTCTGGATCGGATCTTTTGATAGGTTTACGCCCAGCCTTAAGTTTGATTTGCATTCCAACATTTTGGTTCAAGGTGAAAGGTTGTTTACTGCTTATTAGATGCCTATGTTTTTATTGATTCTGACTTAATTGGGCTTACATCCTATTAGGTCTGTCGTATATCCGTTATCTGCTACAATTCGCATGTGATACCGAATGCTACTTGCCCAATTTTAATTAAAATTCTCCTGAGTTCTTTACAGCAGTCATGAATATGGACAAGTTTATTAGTTGGTTTCATTACATTTCGAACATTTCCGTGTGTACAGAAAGGACATCTGAAATAAAAAGGCTATAGGTTACAATGGTGGCCTGTAAAATAAACACCAGTACGCCTACGTGTACGGTAATTTGAACAAATTAATATAATTTGCGTAACGCACTTCCGTTTAAATTTAAAGGTTTCCATTACAAAGTATTTAAACGTTTCGCAAGTATTGATTCTCTATAAATTCGATATGTGAGTTCTACTATAATTAAAAGGTTGTTTAAGCAGTTCAGCCAAACTTCTTTATGCTTTGAGCCTTCTCACGAGATCGTACGCCAAATTTATGACAGTAAAAATAATAAGTAAGCCAGATTCGAAACTCGATTAGGTCCTTATCTTTTACTATAATCTTCCGATTAGACTGTTCTATTGAATCTAGAGAGTTAACCTCAGAGACATACTTTTCACATTGAAAACATTTCATTATATTTAAATAAAAGTACTTAAAATCTAGGATGTTATAATGCCAAAGGCGGTTTTGCGGCCTAAGAAAAAAGATAAAAGGATAAATTTAAGTCAATAGAGAAATGATGTTTAAAAGTGTCACTGACGTGGCAACACATTATTTGCGTTTTCAAGGCATTGAGATGTTAGATTGTTTTTTTTATTGCAACCTAATCTAAGACCGTAGGATTAAAAATTCAAACCATTCTATCCAATGACGTTGATATTAAACATAAATAACTTACTATCAGTTGATGTTCAGTTTCATATTCTTTTACCTGTGAATAGTAATGTGAACATGCTTCTAAGTAGACAAGTTTAGGTGAAAACTTCAATGCTGGTATGCTTTTTGTATCTCATTGGTAATAGTCGGAAGTTAATTTGCTAAAACTGAAGGTTAAATTGCAAAATCAAGGAAGACAGTGGTGATCTTCGACGCGCCTTAGAAATTTGGACATTTCACTCGCTCGTCATTAAAGTGGGTGAAGTTTTCGGATGCCATTGACCTGCTGTATATGTTGTCTACCACACATACTCGAAAGCCAACTAAACTAATGCAAGGTGATGACAATAAACCATAAATTCAGTCTGAAAAACTTCGGCCTCGCGCCTTTTAAATGTTCCATTAAGGGCAGCGGAGAATTGGCTTTTATTCGACATTTTTGAATAGCGGATGAAAAGATGATGTGAACATTATACTGTATAAAGTGAATCAGGTTCACTCAGCGTTGACCTTTACCTTCGAAACAGAGAACGAAAAGGGTCTCCCCGTTCTGGACGTCATACTTAATCGAATGACGGATGGAAAAATCAGAAGTGAATATCGTAAGAAATTATGGACAGGGCAATACATAAATGTCCACAGTTTTGTCCCGTTAAGCCTGAAATGGGGCTTGGTCTGCTGCCTCACAAACCGAGCCAGGGGAATATGCACACCAGATGCGCTTGAGAATGAACTCGCGACTATACAAAACACTGAGGGAAAACTGCTATCCTGGAAGTTTTATCAACAAATATATGGAAGATCGCCCTCCAAAATCTGAAATTTCGACGACTGAGAAGAAAGAGTTATTTCTCACAATGTCGGCGAGCGAACCGCTACATCGTCGTTAAACGCTTTTATCGGGCGCACGTACCCAGCGGCTCGGACATGACTAGTATGCACAAGAACTTCATTTCTTCGCCTTGAAGGTAAGGATAGACCGCCTGTTAAAACCTCTTCGATGTGCATCTACGCCTTCACTTGCTCCTGTGAGGTAGGCTATATTGGTCGAACAACCAGGCGCCTAGCAAGCGGATGCGAGAGCACAATCCTGCCCGGCTAAATCAAGGTGCAGAAACGTACATCTCTAACGCAATCGTGGCTCACTTGTTTGACAGCGGCCACCGGGTATACACCAACCGAGTATGTATAAAGTGTCAGCGAGACACTCCAAGTTCTTGTGTCAGCGGATACTTGCGACGCAGAGGCTGTGGCCATGTGGCCAATCAACCCGACCTTGTGCTCGCATAAAGCTTTTGTACAAGTGATAAGGCTCCTCTAGGCAAAGACAGACCAGACATTTGTGTTCATGCCTGCCACCTCGCGTTACAGCTATGAAACAAAAGAGCTTATTGGCATACATCTTTTCCCTCCTCTCCCTAAACCACTGACGGAACTAGACTCTGACCCATGACTTCTGAACGCCCCTCAACCCTCTCTCCCCCATACCGACTTTTATCGAATGTTTAACTTTTGCTGCTCTACTCTCGCATATATTACCGTACAGGCTTGACGATGAATAATTTAAAGCGTATGTTTGCCGGCCTTGACGTCCTATATCAGATTCTCGTCGAACGCTTGTGAGGCACATAATCATACATTACGCACTTGACTGTGCACTATACTTAACATAACGCTAATTTGTGTGGTTTGTACGCTTATCATGCGTATAAAGAACATTTTGTAAAAGTTACTATGGTTATACTGTCCTGTTTACCTATTTTTGGCCAAAAGGTAATAAATAAACTTCTAAAAATTAAGTCTTCTCATTTGACGGTGGTCTGTTCGTTTCCTTAGGTAAATTGCTATTTCTAACCAACGGAATGGCACTTAAAACATTTATTTTGAATTTTTAGTTAACCAAGGATCTTTTACTATTTGTCTAGTGTTTTGAAAGACTCACTTGGACTGGCTACTATGCAGTGCGGAAGGGTCGCTTTGATAAAATGAGTATATCTCTCATTTCCTAACAGGAAAGCGGCTATGCCGTTATCCAAATTTTTTCTCAGTCTCAATGCAAGATATGTACTTACTCTTCGAAATATACTGGCATAAAACACGATTTCATTAGAAGAGGATGTTTAACGAATAAATTTATATGATTTGTCGCTCCATTGTGCTTACAGAAAATTGTGGCTGACGCCTACGCAAATCCTTTAAAGTCTAGTTGTTAAGTATCTTGTAAACATTGCTGAAGAGCCCTTTTAAAGAGTCTGTCCAAGTCCTCGCCGGATCTAAAGTAGTGTAATACTCTTTTAGCTATTAACAGCCTAGAGTTGCAGTTTATTACTCAGAGAGACCGACCGCCGCATACACTGTTGAGTTTGCTAGTATAGTTATTCCTGGGTTCCATCGATATCCGAATGTTTACTTAGCAGCACATGGGTCTGGAAGATCTAAGATCTAACTTGCACGTTTAAATTATCTTTTTTCCCCACTGTATGTATTTATTTCGACTCAGCTTTGAACTTCGAGGTCGGTCGAGGGTTATTTACGTTAATGCATTGCTGTAGCTTGAGAATTTCATTATGTGTATTGAAGAAACCTGTTTGTGGTTACTTCTGTCAGCGAACTTTTGAACTTAACAGACTAATTCATGTTAGTTAAAATACCTCTAACATTAGTTACCTGGGGCAAATTAGCATATTAAATGACAAATATTTGGCTGATGTTAACGCACAGAAATTTCCGTTTTATTAAATGTTGAATCAAAGGCCAGGAATTTTTAGCAATCGGATCTTGCCAGATGGAAGGGACTTTAAACGAAAGAATCTTGTAGATAATCAAAACAGTCTGCCCCTTTTATTTCAACTACCGTTTACTTGATTACTCTGACAGCCAGTTTTGATGTTTTACTTTTCCACGTTCGTGCTCGCAAAACTTGATTTGTATAATTAATTTGACGTGTAACTTTACGAAAATGTACAAGGGTCTTAAACCCAAACGTATTCAAGATTCACGAGCCTAAATTTGACGATTACAGCACATTCCGTTGCGCAAGGAGACTTAAAGATCGCTGTTTCATAAGCCAAACATAAAATGAATGATTGAATATAGCGATATGAAATTTACAACTTACCTTCTCAAGTTTTTCGTGAAGGGATTCCTTGGATTTAAGCAAATAATTCTCAATTCCCTATAAAAGTAATGCGTTCGATTTTCGTTAACTGTATCTTGTTCAGAACAAATGTAATACATTTGGAGGTGCGAAACGTTTAGTAAGATTTTCTGTATTATTTGAAAAACCTCCCTTTGGCTTAAAATTAGGTAAGTGATGTCTTATGCACAAGGCTAAATAATAAAGAGGTATTCGTTAGTCTCTCAAAATGTTTGATGTTTTATGGCTTTCTATTCATGCTCAAAAAGCGGAGAAAAAATTATCTTTAAACAGTAAAAATTTAGAAACCTCTAGGCATTATTTCAAGTACAGTCCAGTAATTTGTCAAAATTAACAAAAACTCTGAAAACATTAATGGCAAAAAGTTTCTTTCGTAGAAAATGGGCGACTAACAGGCTTTGATTCGCGTAAATATTCATCCAGGGAAGATTGTCTAAAACAGACAAACTTGGAGTTGAGTAAACCTTTACTTGTAATCTTCTTCAAAAGCAATGGAATACATTTTTATAATTCATATCCTTCTTAGGCGAAACTGGATATTTATTGTTTGCAAAGTCCGCCAGAATATAAGTTATCTCCCCCCGCAAAATGAAACCGGTGAATTTAAAATTTAGTGGAAACTAATACGCAATGGTGAACTTTCACTTGAAAAATAACGGAGAACAGTGACTCTTGCATGTTTGTAGCTCTAACAACAACCCTTGGTTCGGTTGCTAGAGCACCATACTACGATGTTATTTCTTCCAAAATTAGACCGTGTGTGCTGCTTTTTCAAAGAGTCACCTCTTCCAAAAGGCTACGATATATATGATATTAAAATAACAAGTCTATATAATAGTAATAATCAAATAAATAGCTAAATAGATATGCAGAATGAGCAGAAGGACATCTTTTTACCGACGACCCGATCTGTTGCTGGTCGACTGGGCAGTTCGTTCCAATATCGTCCTCTCCTCACCTAAAGAAAGGACATCGCTGTCCGAGCTCGCAGCCTCGACCTTATCCTCAAGAGAACTGTCCACATCACCGATTTTTTCGCTCATTTTCGATCCGCTTTTGAGACAAAATAGTGTATTAAATACGCATTTGCAAATGCATAGGTACATGCTATGTGGATATGTTTTGCTGCATAAATATGTACAGTAGATGTGCTAACACTTGAAATGTCAACCAAAATTTCGAAATGCGTTGTCGTTTCGAAAAGATAAATTAAGTAGTGTTGTAAAACTAATCATGATGCAGCATAAATCTATAATGATCCAGTTACCTCAGGGTGTCTAATTTTGAAAACGTGATTTTCAACCAGATAAGTAGAAGAATGAATATTGTTATGCATGTTTTCCATGAAATATAATTGAATTTTCAAGGGCATCGAAAATCATTGAGAAAATGTCATACTACTTAAGTGCTCATTTTTTGCAGAGTATAGATCTTGCATGTAGTTGAAAATAAGTTCTTTCGAAATAAGACACCCTGAGGTAACTGGATCACTATAGATTTATGCTGCATCATGATTAGTTTTACAACACTACTTAATTTATCTTTTCGAAACAACAACGCATTTCGAAATTTTGGTTGACATTTCATGAGTTAGCACATATGCTGTATGTTAGCCGAATCGGAATAATTTACGGACAACAGGAAGATCATTGAACTTCAACTGCCAAATCATCCAGTGCAGCTTAATATCAGGCAAATACGTGTAATTTGTACTAGGAAAAGTGAAATGTAGTTAGAAGACAGTTCAGTGATCGTGATTTTACTTGGTGACCGCTCTCGACTAGCCAGCATAGTACAGCCTTTACTGAAATTTATTCCAAAGTCCCAATATTTTTAAGGTGCTTGACATCTCGTAACGCATAAGCGGTTTAATGTTAAGCCCAGCTTTAGAATCACCTGCTGTCTCAAAATACATCGTAGTTTGATCTTCTTTGCTGCGCAGAAATGCTCCAGTGATGCAGAAACTGAGCACGCATTCTGCATTAGGCGAGACGTTCCGTCAAAGTGGACGGATGTTGTTCACCATGCTGGTAGAATATCGATAGTCTGATTGATTACAGACATCAAGGCTTGTAATACTTAAAATGTTAGAGCAAGTTTTTAATTAAAATGCTGAGTTTCCTTGTGTCATCCTTCTGATTTGTTGTACCTTGCTAAATCGTTGGCAGGTGATTGACCCCTCTTCACAAAGTCAATAACACTTTCATCCAACCTGGCTGGTTTTCACGAAAAGCTACCGCAAACGGGAAAACAATAATATTTTTATAATTGACCAGCTCTATACCAGTAAGTTACAAGTCTTTTGGATGGGTCAAGCGAAGATAACTTGCTGATGTGGGTTAAAGTGTCCATATCGCCCCTGACAATTGTCACTAGCAAGTGATATTTTGGCTTATAAGTCTCACAGTCCAAATTAATGGGAATATTTTACCAAAATATCACACGAACTCCAAGAGATGTCACGCTTGGTTCGCACTAAGTTCACTTCGTACGGCTACTTAGAAGTTTGTATTTTCCAATGAAGTGTCGAATTCAACGGGCCATCGAAAAATCATAACAATGCAGGCTTCTCACACTCTACTAAATGCAAACTAGCCTTCACACAATACGTTATCTATCGTATATTACACCTCACTGTATGAAAAATCACACCCAGTATTTTCACACCTAGGATTAACCTAATTTATCCGGTCTTTTTTGCATTAGCTCGACCAACTCCCCTCTTATTTTAGGCAAACACGTATAAAAAGTCTGTCTGCACCCTACTGGTCGTGTTATAAACGTTGGGGACTTCTTTATTTCTATCCATTAATTCTTCTCGTCTTCATGCTTTTCAAATATGCAAGAATAAACGCACCTATAGAGTTCATATTTTGCTGATTATTAGTGTTCTGCAACTCATACTCAGTGACTAGACCTCCAGGTCGAACTGTATCTTATGTTTTCAATTAATGATAACTTGACTGGAACCCGGTTCTGAGTGGGAAGTTTTGAACTCATTCTCTTAGCGTAAATTCAGTTAAAGTACTGCCATCACTGGAGGACCAAGTACGCATTTGTAGTTATTTTGAAAACTTTGCCGGAATCAGTCGAATAGGATTGAAGAGTAAAAAAACATGTTATAAGTCAATATGACTGATTTCACTTAATAGAATCGACAGCGAGATGTCGTGACTGTGGTGTTACGACTTCTAAATTACGTCTCAATGTGACATGATAGTATTAGTGTCATTCGACTGAGTAGTGGAATAGATGCTTGTTAATAGTGAAAGTATGCATGCGATAGCTCTTGGCTGTGATCCTGATGGCCAAAAACTAAAGTTCTACCTTTTGTTAAAATAAAGCATCATATCGACAACCAGAGGAAACCAAAATGTCTTTTGATCACTATACCCTTATTTTATACTTTGAACGAGGAGCAACACGCATATGAACTATTAATTACAATTTCTTTTGTGGGTTGTAATCGGCAGTGCCATTCATTCAGAATTGACCGAATCTTAGAAATTTGCTCCCAAGGAAAATTAATTATATTGATATACCCGAGGTAGTAGCCTGTTTTGAATGGCATGTTTTGATTTCTGACAGTAAAGTCGTGTCTCGACTCTCCCGATCCGAACGGATGCATGAAATCGAACCTAAGGTAAGATGTTTCGATCAGCCCTGCGTACGTCGGAAGTGTTATTTATTGGTAATATGTCCAGCTTTGGCGACATTTTCCTACAGCGCCGCTGAGCAGTTTTGGAAGCTGCAACTTTTTGGTGTTTCTAGTAATGCGAGGAAGCTTATGCCTTTTATAAGCACACGGCTTCCAACTTATCAAACATAATGGCCGAATGACCTTAAAAACATGGAAAATAAAGAAATTTCTCAAGGACAACTTATTTAAAAGCATGCTAGCATTCTTTAGAAAATATGTGAAAAGTGCGTACAGGTTTGTGATGCTTGGGTTTAGAAATTATCTTAAATAGTCAAGGTACACCTTTATGCAGAAATAATAACTAATGCTGCGAACCCTGCATTTATAACTGGCTGTCCATGCTCTGCATGATCACAGAATTAAAAAAAAAAACAATTTCTTCTCGCGATGCCTTTATCATATTAACGTAACAAAATCCCGAATCATCTTATTGGTGAACCGAAAGGTGCCAATTAGAACAAGGGACGTCGCTTTCTTTATAGCGAATCATCTTCAGACTAGCATACGATTGTGATGGTCGGACAAAATAAAATAAGATAATATGGACTGCCAGGGCTGTCTAATATTCTATGATCCCGTGACTATTTTATCGTAAACCGTCTTCGTTTGCTTAGGTCCAATCCTTAAAGATTACTGGGATTAATATACATTGTACAACCGAATATGAGGAACAGTTAATTTAGACGTCTATACCGTAAGTAATTAACAAACTATGCTGGAATTGACTTCGAGCACCCAACTCGAATAAAGGAATAGATGGAAGGCTGGCTTAGAAGATTTCCATAGCTTAAGAGAAAATTCGACTGTAAAAAGGCGTTATCCACTAGCTCGACTTAGTTTTACCCAGGTGGACATCCAGACGATTAAAGCGCCAGCAGTACGTGAGCCCTGAACTTCCCGTCGCGGGATTCGACTTTTTTTAGGTCGCGGAATTCTCACAGATGGATGGTCCGTGAAATCGAGACTTTTCAAAAAAGATAATCATAATCGACTGAATGCCTGCAGTAAAAGTTTATTATTTCTGGCCAGTAACCTCGTTTACACAAAATTAAGTAGCAAAAACATTTGCAAAAGGGCCCTGTTCCAATCAACCATTATTTTCACGTAACAAGCAAGTCAATGTTTTGAACTGAGACTAATTTTTCAAGACAGATATATTACGGTACACCTAACTACCAAAGTGGAGGAAGAGTGAAGTGTTGGCTGATTGCAACTAAATATGTGTTTACTTTCGGCAAGTCACAAATGGCAATTACACTGCTCGGAATGAGTGATGTACAGAGATCCAAGTATAGGTTTATGTCAGGTAATGGCCCTTTCGAATATGCGATGTGGACGACCTTAAACAAAGCTGAAATACAATGCTTTAAGGACGGTGAACAATTCCACTTAAAGTTGTCTCTTCATTTCATATTCTGTGTCTGGTAAGTATTCCGACGTAACTGCAACCGAGATAGCGTTTGGTCAATAGATGTCTGAGGCATCCCACGTCGCAATGAGAATACAAAAATACTGATGACAAAGACAGAAGCGGTTAATCCTTCAGTAAGTCACTTTGGCCATTAAAAACGACCATGCTGAACGTTTGTCTCACAGCTTGTTGAGCGCAGCGGCAGTGAAATGCGCGTAGATTAGTTTGAATTGGCAGTTTGACCATCGGTCTCGACGATGTCCACCGTGTGCTCCATAACAGGATGAGAGCAGGCACGACAACTTCCGCTTACATCAGTTTGTAGTAATAGTGTACTTGCGCGGCACCTACCGCACTCTCCCCCCTCTCCATCTGGATCCGGCGTCATGATCAAATCAAGACGATCGTAGGCGGGAGAGGACGTAGGTGGCTGGCACGACAAAAACCCGCGCCTAGGTGTACCACCAAACCCTCTGCTCCACAACAAACACTCGACCAGGATTTTAAATTACAAAAATGTAGGGACGATACTGATCACAGTTGGCGCGGCGTTAGCCTGCAGCAACTCGGTCAGCTGCTAAACCCCAAAAGTTGGCATTTGCTATGGGTGCGCATCCCCAATAACGCCTTCCGGACTCCGGCCTACTCCTAGTGTTGGTTCAGCGCACTTACCATGTGGCCCGTTTTAAGAGCACTAAGATCGGAGTGGTAGCAGCCTCGCGTGGCACCTCCCGCACTCTTTTTCCCCCATCCCCTGGGCCCGGTAGGAAGGCCGAGTCAGGACAATCGGTAGCGGAATAAGTTCTATGCTACAGCAGCATGCAAGAAGTTTAAAGAAGACGTCATTTATACCAAATGAGTAAAATAATGAGTAGTTTTTCGCATTTCTTAATGAAATATATTTGGATCTATAAAGGTATCGAAAATCAATG